AAACATGATTCATTTTACAAAAGGGTTTGCTCTGTTTATAATTGCTATAAAACGCACCATCGTAAAATGCCCGTATTTAACAGCATGATTTTCAATTTCGGTGTGTAGTGTCACAGAATACACAATTGACATGTAATGCACGTGAAAGTTAGGGGGATCGCTACATCCGGGTACCTCACCTGAGTCATCGAACAGCTACGGCGACCAGTACCGCTCGACAAATACCCGGATTGAGGAGGCTTTCTGCACAGACCGTCAGGAACAGGTTGAGAGAGGTTGGTTTACGTGCCAGAAGACCTTATTTTGGCCCTGTGCAACATCGTCGACATCAAGTTCAATGGTGCACCAACGTTCAGGCCTGGAACCTACCGAATTGGCGTAGAATCTAGTTCAGTGATGAATCACGATTTCTATTGGAACGACGCGATGGAAGAATGCGGTTATACAGACGTCGACGTGAACGTTTTGCCGACGATTGGGATCCCCAGGTGGACAGATTCGGCCGGGAAAGTGTTTTGATGTGGGCAGATATCACCTGCCCTAGGAGAAGTGATTTGATGATGGAGAGGTGATGATTCAGGCCAACCTGACAGCTCAACGGTACTGTGACGAAATCCTACGCCCACACCTCCTTCCAATCATTGATGGCTAGAGGGAGTTGTTTCAACAGGACAATGCCAGGCCCCACACAGCACGTCACACTAGAGACTTCCCTGGCCCTCAAGATCACCGGACTTAAACCCGATCGAACATCTGTGGGATGCCCTGGACAGACGGGTGCGACGCCGTAACCCTCAGCCCCAGACACTTCAGCAACTCGCACAGGCACTACAGAGTGAGCTGCGATAGGGCAACACGAGATTCTGAGATTTATTCGTTCGATGCCGAGGCAATGCCGTGCAGTTCTGGGGGATGCCCACTGTTTTCACATGAGGTATTGACTTCAGCGCCACCACAAGTCTCCATGTGACACTCAAACTAACTTTCCTCGAGTTGGTGTCAAAGACGGATAAGTGTGCATTCCCAGTGTGCAATTTCGCTATATTTCATTGACTCATAAAGCCTACAAGATGTTTCAAAATAAACATAAAAATACAGTTGAAATTCCTATATGCGTTTCATTCTGGGGAGAGTATATAAATGGCAATAAACATGTAATGCTTACTGACATGTTTGCGAATGCCAATGTCATAGATATGATGGATCGTGATATAATAGAGTGTGGCTGCAGCAAACATGTTGACATGTCTCATGAGGTTTTATTATGTTTGACCAGCCTTCGTTGAAATTCACTTCTACTACGAAAGCAATAATCACATATTGATAACGTGCATAAAAGGAATAATCTGATTTATCATCCAAAACTGTGTTCCACAGGAGATATCGCTTGTGTGAGATCAAACGATATCTCCTAGGAGATATCGTTTTGACAGTAGATTTTGTACAATGCCCTGACAATGCTTTGACGTCGTGTACTTGATGACGTCACAATGCTATGACATCGCTGCACTGCAAGTCTAATGGCAGTAACATGTTCAGAGATGTACATTTTTCATTGAAAATTAGCGAAGAGTGATTTTGGATGATAAATAGAATCTCAAACTCGTGCCTTCTGATATCAAATATATCAACACTCGTTGATAAGAGTAAAAATATACTCGGCAAGCCTCGGATATTTCTAACTTTATCAACTCGTGTTGATATAATTGATATCGGAAGACACTTGGGTGAGATTCTCTATATATCACAGTTAAATAAAACCCCAACCATACTTTCACTACATGTATCACACATTATACATTGCTAAAACGAACATTGTTATTGTTTTTTATTTTGAAAAAAAGAGAAAAATATCAGAAAAATATCAGCTTCATTATACAGAGTATTGCAGAGATCCTATTGGTTTCAAATGAGGTGTAACTATTTAACTTCCTTGTTGAAAAGAAGCAAGCTTTACACCCCGACCTACACCGGCTGGCTTGGATACACAGATCCCGGTCTGTGGAGATTTGCATACACTATGTATGCACTGTTTGTTGTTCTGTACAATAATTCATTCAATTTCAAATATTTGTACACGTATTACATACATACATACATACATACATACATACATACATACATACATACATACATACATACATACATACATACATACAGACATACATACAGACATACATACAGACATACATACAGACATACATACAGACACACATACAGACACACACACAGACACACACACAGACACACACAGACACACAGACAGACAGACATACATACATACATACATACACACACACACACACACACACACACAGACACAGACACACAGACAGACACAGACATACAGACATACAGACATACAGACATACATTTGTATAGCGCCGATATCCAGCTCAGCTGGATGTCAATCCCAACGGCACGCCGAATTATCAATCTCAACTCCCCGGGGAGCATACAACTCTTGCAGCCACTAGGCGCACCGAGTTAGTGTGGCTTTCCAATCCTTACGAGGTACCCATTCACAACTGGGTGGACTGGGACACATTTAGTCACAGTACTTTGTCCAAGTTTACTGCACGTTGCTGTACCCGCCACTAGGTGTTTGCACGTATTCATGTGGCCATCATCTGGTCATATACCAACGGATTCGTGGGTTCTTTTAAGTGCACAGGGTTGTGCACTGTACACTAGGGGTTGTTACAACACTGAGAGAGTCTGCACACAAAGTTGACTCCAAGGTTTTTACCACCGCTCACAGGTGGGCTCGATCCCGTCACCGTCACGTTGGAACACTAGCCTGACGCTTTAGCCAGCTCGCCCACCACGCCCCACGTCACTCGACATACACGTATATATAGAAGTCCGATTGCTGCAGTTATTTCAGAATACGGTGTATATATCTAACACCTCTGGTCACTTAACACACAGTGTTTATTCCACAAGAGTGATATCAAACACACCAAAACACACAACCGTGATATCCACTTTATCATATAAATTCATTCTTAAATTCTATCGCCCACAAAGGGCGTTTGGGTAGCTTAGTGGGTAAAGACCTGGTTCGTCACCTTCCGAAGGTGCGGGTTCGATTCCCCATACAGACATAATAGGAAATCCGTTTCTGATGAGCCTACTTGATATTGCTGGGAGTGGTATTAAAACATACTCGTGTCCTCACTCATTATCGACAACTCACTCACTAACACCTCTAATATACGGCACCTGAGCAATACAGCTCTGGACTTTGCACTGAAAGCAGGAAGTATTTTAGTTTCAAATGAAACTCGTTTCGATGTAGCCTATTATCCATGTGGTTATGATATATCTAGCCTCCATCTCGGACAGACAAGGGAGACACCGTGTTTGTATGAAAAACATTTAAGTACAAATTACCTGAATAAATGACCTCAATTGTTACTGTTTTTGAGTTCACAACCATCATGTGAAATAACCTGTCTGATTTGTGATATTAATAGGACTATGCAAAGGCGTCAAAATACCCTTACGTAAATATTCATTTCACCTGATGAGGGAGTAAGAATTAATTTGGAATTGTCGTTTTAAACAAATACTTAGGTTTATATTCACAAACTTTTTGAATAACATACATATAAAAATATATAAATAACAACTTTTATTCTTACAAAAGGGTATCAAAATATGATCAGTGTGACATCAGACACAATCTTATTGAAGACAATAAATTCAATTTTGCAAGAAAATGAAAGATTCAGCGTACATATATTTTACATATCTTGAAGGGCATTAACAGTCATAATCTGATCTCTCTCTTCTGTCTATCACGTGAAGTGACATGTCTATTTAATTTGTAAGTGTTTGGCATTATTGGAATCTTGACGTTTCAGTTAATACAGACCTCATTATTCATTTTATTGAAGGGAAAGATGCAGAAAAGCACGACATTCTGGGTAGTCCTGATGTCAACACTTGTAATCCTGCTGTCATGTACCCCAGCAGGTTGGTAAACAAATAGAGTTTCGCATACCACCAGAACATGATCGCTCAATCACTCGATAATTTTGTGAAATAGTTTATCATGAAGTTTTTATTTATAGCAGTAAGTACATTCCAAACAGTTTTATTCAATTATACTGTGCCATTATGCTGTACGATGTGTTTCCTTTAGTACTAAGATTATTCTCTTTTGTAAATATGTTTTCACTGTAACTGCAGTTGCATCATCAACAACGCCGTGTAACGAGTGTAACGGTAACAACGTTACCTGTGACAATGGCGTGTGTCTACTACGCTGCGTCCATTTAACGTCATCTGGAGAGTGTCTCCAGTGTCTGGACTCCAGGTTCTACGGTAAACAGTGTGAACATGACTGTCCAGACACCTGTCTCAACTCTCGCTGTCAGATGAACAACACCCGTACCGTTTGTTCAGATGGATGTGTGGATGGTAAGAAAGGAAAATTGTGCATCTCTGTGTCCTTCATCTTGCACAAGATGTGAACAAACAGGAGATGCTTGTATTGGATCATGTCAAAACGACCAGTATTACGGTTCACAATGTGAAACCCCATGTCCTGATAACTGTTTGGATGGTTGTAAGAAAGCCACGGGCAAATGCAGAAGTTGCGTTGAGGGTTACAGTGGGGAGTACTGTGACAGATGTGTGGAAGGCAACAGGGGAATGTACTGTAATATTGCCTGTTCTCCTTACTGCCAAGATGTATGTGATAAAGACAAGGGTGACTGTGGTAGCTGCGTGGCAGGTTACACGGGGACGTACTGTAATGAAACGTGCCCCTCCAACTGTACTCAGTGTGAACAACATAGTGGGCAATGTATAGGATCATGTCCAGACAGCCAGTACTACGGTCCTTTCTGCTCAATACAATGCCCTGCAAGTTGTGCTGGATGCGACAAGACCACGGGGAGATGTATTCTCTGTGCCGATGGATACACGAGGTGTACGGACGGTCTCTGTCAAAGAGGTGCCTGTGACTCAGGTGACTTGTACACACGAGCTTCTACCAAATATCAGACATGTTCATAAGACATATGATATGAAGGTATCTGTAAAAGTATTAGCCTAATATGTAGCAAGATAAATTAATGCATATAAAAATACAACGGCCTGAACCTATTTGAAATATTACTGCCACTGTCCACTATATAGTATCTTTGTTAATATTGATGAGTGTGTTAATATAGATGAGTCTGACATGATGTACAATATACTATTTACAAAGTGTTCCTGTTTCAAAGGTTAGGCATACGATGAGAACAATATTGAACCTTTCCTTTAAAGAGTAAAAAATACATCGGACGCTTTTAGCACGTCGCTTTTAGCAATATTAGAGGAAGAGCACAGCGTAATTTGCAAAGACGTTGTGTCGGTTTGGGGAATTCGAAACTGGACTTTCTGCATGACGAATGAAAACTTCAACCTCTAGGCTTTTCGCTCCAACCATCATTTACGATGCATGTTTTTCACTGCAGGTAACACTATATTGACCCTGAAAGTGACAGCTGGAGTACTGGCAGTGCTTGTGACGCTTGGAACAACCTTAGCTGTGGTCATTCTAACCAGACGCAAGAGCAAATGTCAGAATAGGTGAGAATGTTCATGTACCAGCAGAATCATATAGGAAAAAATAGTGCAGAGAACTTCCCTAGTCACAGATTCTTGTTTCCTCATATGCAGACACAAATATAATGTAAATCTGAAATTTGAGAATTGAATCTGTTTACACATATTTCAAATGCTATGTGGTATGCTTGAAATAACAACATTTTATATAGATACAGCTATATGTTCAATATATATACATGTGTATATTCAATTTAACATGAACTAAACAGTCCTTTTCTTCACAGAAGGGAACCATTTCCCAGTCCTCAGGATCTGGGACAGAGTGATGGTAGTGAGTACTGGGCACACAAGTACTGGGACATCCACGATAAGGATTTGGGATCTGAATCTGACTGTAACAACTTACCTGTGCCTCAGATACCCAATAGACGCCCTGTCCAAAACAAGGATATCCCCTTGGACAATGTAAAAGTCAGAACATCAGTTCCAAGGTTTGATGGTGCAATGTCATCGGCAGATCACGTGGCTTTGGTCCATCAATGTGGACATGATTCGACTTATGAACCGCTTGTTGCAGAAACGCCAGAGGTGGACGTGGTGGACAGTGAGGTAGATGATGCATCAGAGAGGAACATAATAGGTTTGACTGTCAGTAACTCCGATCTACAGACTTATCAGGAAGGGGATGGAGTCATCGACAATCCAGTTCAACAGCGTATTGAGAATCTCATTAGAAAGACGGATTCTATAATAGCTATAGAACAACATCTTGATTTAGCAAGTGTCAATGTGAAATATCTTACACCTGACAAAGTCAACACCGCTTCAAATACATTGTAATTGGTGAAAAAATGTCCATGAAACCATTTTAGTTGTTCAAAAAATAGTGCTTGTTCTGTGTATATCCATATTGCACAATAAAGCTTTCGTTTTCATACACCGAATTTGTGATATGCTGGTATGTATTTTCATATGTGAGGTGGATTGAATATGGGATCTTCAAATAGCAACAGAGATTAATTTCTCAATTCCTTGATCTCAGATTGTGAGTATGTAAGATATATTTCTGTTATAATCAGAAACACTTCCGAAAATATCCATTTGCCGCGCGTAACTGTTCGAGACAAACCTAATTTCATTTTCCTATTTATAGGCAAAATAAGGTTCCTTTTGAGCTGTTACGAGGCAATGTCACAGTTGTTTCAACATGTAGAATTTTTACATGCACACATGACAGCTTACACTTACCTTCACATCTACAAGAAAATGAAAACCCGTGAAACATATATATACATGCATTTCAGTCTTTACCACACTATCATATGACATCATGGTGAAGAGTTTAGGGAAATAACCTCACATCTAGAGGTTGGAAAGTAGCATGTAAACAAAGCAGCGCAGTAATAATATTCCAACATTTGTTGTTTTTATAACATAAATGTACTTTCATCTACTTGAGTGAATGAGCACGTGAGTAGGGTTTAACATTTTCCCAGCTATATCATGGCTTGTAAGCCCAGTGTGGGTTTAAAGTCTGAAGTGACGAACAAGATTCGAACTCGTGATCAAAGGTCACGGAGTGGGCAAGGGAAGCAACTCTGGACAGTGAATTGTGATCCCGTAGACAACTTGGTCATCCAATCTCCTGATCTAGCTTGAAAGATTAAATATAATTACAATTACAATTGCAAGTAATTATTGCCGGGATAACATTTACATTCGTAGAACATGAGATATACTATATCAAATAGACTTCACATGTGTGGTGTCATATTACAAATATTTAGGTATTATATTTTCGTGTAGAAATATATTCTCCAGAGCCTGTGAAACATTATCTATGCAAGCTGAACGAGCCCTACATGTCATAAAGAAATTCATATGCAAATATAAAGAATTACCGATCCATGCATCATTTAAACTGTTTGATGGAAAAATTCAACCAATTCTGTTGTACGGCTCTGAAATATGGGGCATTAACATAAACAAGAATATTGAAAAGGTACATTCAAAGTTCTGTAAGTTCTTGTTGCGTGTTGGCTACAGAACTGCGAATAAGGTTATTTTAGCTGAATGTGGACGTTTTCCACTGTTTATTAACGCCCGATGTCGGGTTATTGCATATTGGCTAAGATTGATGAGACAACCAATTTCACGATATTCAAGATGCTTAAAACACTAGATGATACCGGAGATATTAATTGGGTTTCATTCGTTAGAACTATTATTTTTAGTCATGGCTTTGGAAATGTATGGATCGCCCAAAATGTAAGTAATACACAATATTTCATCAAATTATTCAAGCAGAGATGCAAAGACATTTATCAACAGGACTGGTATAATGAAATAACGTCGTCAACCTGTGTCAACTTTTATTCAGAATATAAATATTGTATTAATACAGAAATTTACCTTTCAAAGATTAAATCACCACAACTTAAGCGTACGCTTACTAAATTTAGATGTAACGCTTACAACTTCAAAGTCCAAGCGGCGCGATTTGCCAAAACTTCAAATGCAATAGATATCCAATGTCCATTCTGCAATTTATCGCAAGAAGATGAGTACCATGTATTACTTGTATGCCCGAAATATTTAGAAAATAAGAGAAACATATTTGCCTTATTTTTTCTATAACCAACCGTCGAGACATAAATTCTGTATGCTACTTCGCACAGAAAACATTGACTTGTTGTTTAAGCTAGCCCTTGTGTTGTACCACATACTTATGTTGAGAGAAAAAATGTAAATTGTGAATGGGTGTTTATGGATTTATTTATGTTCCTATAACTCGCGTATTTACAGGTTGCGCATAAATGCACTGCTATTATTGTACACATGTACTATTGGCCTCAAGGCCACATATACAAATAAATATGTCTGTCTGACTTCACATGTGTTACTTTATGTCTCGAACATACACATATAGAACAAAGCTTGTTGCTTGTGGATCAATGTGGTGTATGGATGTAATGATCCTACACTGAACAGGATTAGGCATGAAGGTGCGCTTGGTGCATCATCCACAGTCAACAGTAGCACGATGGGTGACATTTTGATTTCACAGGGACTAGCCATCTGTACTGTCACTTGTTCAGTACCGTGTAATACTCCCCATAATGTTAGGTACATGAATTTGTGTTCACGTGACTCCGCAAACGTGCTGCGCTGCATGCACCCTGCGTGGTTCTCCACAGTTGAAATGGTCAGATGCGTCAGATTAGATCTGGCATTATAATATTCGCCATAGTTACCTTGAACAACCTTGTACTACCCATTTTAATATATTTCATTTCTCCAAGTAAGAAGTTTCTGTTTTGGTTTAGTATATGACATCATTAGTCACAATGTAAATTATAGTTCAAATTTCCTAGCAATGAAGGTAAAATACTCGTGGATGACGGGGAATATAACGCAGCTCCGATGAGTCATATGTGTGCTTGCTATGCAGGTGGTCAACATACGTCCATGGATTCCTCAGCATTAAGGACGTGTCTATTTAAACGAAGACACGCCTTTCTTGACTATCAGTGATATTGGCTGCAGTTACCGTTTCCTCAAAATGTTTGTTTTGTTGGTTTGAAGGAGGAAAGTGTAACATGCAACTAGTTTGTTAAGAAGACGACTGCCCATTTGTGGAGGTAACTAGATGAAAACTGTCGGACACATCGGATTCATAAAGGTAATTTTAAGTTATGCTCATAATAATAATCATGAGGGCTTGTATGTTCAATGTATTGTATTCAAGATACAAATTCATTAGTGAAAGCAACACGCCTGATTGCTGTTGATATCTCTATCTTTTTGAATAGAGATAACGAATGCTATAATTGAAACTACAAAGTAGTAAGTGAATTTGAATTTAGGAAACTTTAATAATTATGCATTTCAGTTATGTCGCTGCTAGAAAGCTTAACGTGAGAGGAAATACGTGCATACGTAGGTTTGGAAACCAACGAGCGTTGGTACAGTAAACGTAATCCACGCAAACCAGTATTGGAACCCATGATCATAGTCTCATTATTTTTTCATAGATGGTTCTGTTATTTCATGATGTGTATTACTATATTTCATGTAGAAATATGGTGCCGTTCTGTCTGGTATTGCGACCCCCGGTGTTCTGTGTGGTGGCGGCTATATGCATGGTACCCATTGTAACAGGTTCGTTCTTAACTGTTCTTAATTAATGATGAATGAAGAAAAGAAATCATGACTACTACAATTAAACAATGATTACTACTGCGCAGAAAGAAATGAAATGATTGGCCGCATTGGCGGCTGTTACAGACTGACGGGCGACTGCATCAACTGTAAACCTGGTTACAGAGGAAGATACTGCAAGCTTCGTTGTGAGGATGGAGCGTGTAATCAAGGCAAACATACCCTGTTTATACTAGTTTTGTTTTCCTCAGAAATGTTTTCTGAGTACATAATTTAGTTTCGGTCATATGATGAGCGTATAACCGGCAATAAAATTACTTGTAAATGAGATAAGACATCTGAATTCCTGTATAAAAGCGGCTGGAACATTGTAATGCTTTCTAGTCATGATTTAATTGGTAATTATGTAAGGGCACGTTCAATGTTTTGTCTTCTCATTCTAATTAATGCGATAGCAACTTTCTCAACTCAAATGGATACTTATTGTGTTTGATTTCCGTTAACAAAACCTGGAAAGAATGCAATCATTATGCAGTTTCCGCCCAAACGCTCATCCACTTTTGTCATTTCTGATAGAAGTCTTTTGCAACAGCATTAAAACAGTTATGCATGTTAAGAAAAGGGTTATATTTACGCAATAACAGTCGCGCAGAAAATATCTATATCGGTTTACTTCGGTCAGTATGAATGTATATTCCTCACATGCAATTTCTTTACTTTCATGTAGCAAATATGAAAAATAAATGTAATTAGAGCATTACCAAAACCATGGTGATGGTTTGGCTTAAATGCACTTAATGTTTTCTTTAGCATTCCTCATTAATTGTAATCGTCAGTACAAAAAGGAATACCCAGTCTTGACTATCCTCAGAAACACACCCCATTTCATGTGAAGGGCAAAATAGCTGTGAACATGAGCTGATCTGTGTGTACCCTACTGATAGCGCTCGCCATTCACACATTTCTAAAGTATCGTACATAATATCGAATAATCCTATTCATATTTGCATCGTATTCATTTCTAAATTGAGAGCCGTTTTCAGTAAACTATGTGCGGACATTCAGCAACTAAATTCTGTTGCTCAACGTTTGCTTTAAAATAATCTGCAGCTCCTGGCACCAACTGTGACGGTAACAACGTGACCTGTGTTGACGGTGAAGATGTTTAATATTTACATTTTCATTTTCCATTCGATAGTTTCCTCTTCAAGCACACCGTGTTCCAACTGTGACGGTAACAACGTGACCTGTGTTGACGGTGTGTGTCTACCCCGCTGTGTCAGTGTGACGTCATCTGGACAGTGTCTCCAGTGTCTGGACTCCAGGTTCTATGGTGAACAGTGTCAACATGACTGTCCAGACACCTGTCTCAACTCTCGCTGTCAGATGAACAACACCCGTGTTGTGTGTACAGAGGGATGTGTGGCCGGCAAGAAGGGAGATGACTGTGGAGTGAACTGTCCTACAGCCTGTACACAGTGTGTACGTTATGGTGATGGTTGTACAGGACCGTGTCAGAATCCCCAGTATTACGGTCAACACTGTAGAACACCTTGTCCCTCCATCTGTAGAGGTGGATGTAATAGGATCACAGGGGAGTGTGGCAGCTGTGAGCCAGGTTACACAGGGGACAAGTGTGATGTTACCTGTCCCCCCAACTGTAGAGGTGGATGTGATAAAGACACAGGGGAGTGTGGCAGCTGTGAGCAGGGATATTGCAATGTTACCTGTCCAGACTCCAGGTTCTATGGTAAACAGTGTCAACATGACTGTCCAGACACCTGTCTCAACTCTCGGTGTCAGATGAACAACAACCGTGTTGTGTGTACAGAGGGATGTGTGCCCGGCAAGAAGGGAGATAACTGTGGTGTGAACTGTCCTCCAGCCTGTACACAGTGTGAACGTTATGGTGATGGTTGTACAGGACCGTGTCAGAATCCCCAGTATTACGGTCAACACTGTAGAATACCTTGTCCCTCTAACTGTACAGGTGGATGTAATAGGATCACAGGGGAGTGTGGCAGCTGTGAGCCGGGGTACACAGGGGACAAGTGTGATGCTACCTGTCCCCCCAACTGTAGAGACGGATGTGACAAAGACACAGGGGAGTGTAGACATTCAGGTGAGAGCTTCTAATTTCACTGGAAAATGTGTGTCGGGCTACACAGGGGACAAGTGTAATGTGACCTACATAACTGATGAGACGGGTATGATAATGAGTCTGGGAAGTGTATGAAAGAAGTTTTATCGTCTTGTTGAAAAACATATGGGGCATTTGTTTTCGATTGAGGGGTCAAAAATCATCTTTCAGTAAGTCAGACTTTGGCGAGATGCCAACTTGCTCGATATCGTTTCCGGCAACACTTTCAGTCTATTCAACACCTTGCGACTTCCATTTCACCATGTTCAGTGTTAATCACATACACGCGATAGGAATTTAGTGGTTGTATTATTCTCGTTACACGTCCAGTAATGCATCCGTCCACCTTGACCAGGTCATTGACGGTAACTGGGTAGCCATGTTTGCTTACAAAATACGATTAGAATTTTTTTTATTACAAAACATGTTAAGTAAACGACGCCATATTATTAATGAAATATGAAATGAAGCATTAAATAAGCATCCAAATCGAAAATCCTGTATGTTCTTTTTTCTATTTTAAAATCTCGAATCAGTGCGATTACAGCACGGTCAATTCATCAATGAATCGATGGAATATTATGAATGAACGTAGTGGTGTGAAACGTCGAGAATCACTAAATTGCACATTGTGCAAATATCCAAAAGATATTACACGGGATCTCCTCACCCGTGTGGGTAATAAGTAAAGATACTTTTCAACACAACACCGTTAATGGCTTGTGAACTGACTGAATACATTATCAAGACGATATCATACAGCGTCAATGTGTGCTAACATAGTCATATTCAGTATTGCCATATTCAAACCTTGTAGAGTCTGACAATCTAACATGCAATCGACCTTTCAGCAGTAAAATTTCTTAGACGGAGAGACTGCTTTCATTGGATAGATTAAATACCCATTACGATAATATTTTAACCTATTAACTGAAGTTCATATCTATAATGTATTTTATATAAAGTGTCTTTTCTGCAGGAGGTCCAAATTTCCCATTTAAAATTACGACTGGAATACTGGCGATGGTTATCCTCCTTGGGATTGTCATATTGGTCGTTCGACAAGTTCCCAAATGTTTGGGAAGGTGAGAAAAATATTATATACAAAATCTACCGTATCATGTCACAGGTTCCAAAACACTGTTTTATGACTTGGCGATGTCAGATAAGTTCAGATAAGTGTCATTAAATGCTTGTTCTCATCACATGAATATATCTGTCAACATTTCAAAACAATTTCAAAAACGTATTTTTATACATTTTATTAAATAATCAAATTCCCATTGGGCCAAATGCGCATTTGAGCCTAAACACTGACATGGCTGTTTTCAGACATGGTTCCTCAAGGTCATCTCCACCGGAAGATGGGACACAGCCGGAACATGCAGTCAGGTCGGAGAATACTCACGACAGCGACTACTGGACACACAAGTACTGGGAAATACACGACAGAGATATTAACTACTCATCGCCGTGTTCAAACACAGGTTCCTCTCACACCGAAGTCGTGAAGCTACGGATAAAGCACCATGAAACCATGAAACCATTATCAGTGGAAGGACAAGCGAACGTTCGTGGACCCTCAAGTGTAATCGAGAGACCCCTTTCAGAACCACCAGCTGACACAAACTCGTCGTTATCGCTGTTGAGTGCAATAGCACAACATGTCAAAGATGATAGTTTAAGGTCAAAGTCACTCCATGATGACTGTGACCTGACTATATCGATAGAGGTTCAAGAATTGATAAAGAAAACGGATTCGATCATATTCATTGAGCAAAACTGTGACTTGTCAAACGTGACTGCCACTTATCTTTGCCCAAAAGCTGACACATGTAAGGAATAGCATGATGAAAGTCAGTAAGGGAATATCGATTTTAGTCACAGTCAGCAATATATACTGACCGCGATGGTCTTCAAACAAACGAATAGTGGACAAACCAGTGACTAAAACCATGAGCAATACAGCCATAGCTAATTAGCTTAATCAAATTTACAAAAGCTTTTTTGACTTGCCTCTGCATGCGTTTATGACGCCACGTTACCTATCTCTGTGTTGGGGGGCAAGTAACGCTCACCGTGAAGGAATCACCTGGCATTCACTATTTGATAAATTGGTTCATAAAGCTCATGATATAGTCGGGATCGTTCAGTCTGCTCTGATTTTGACAGACATTTCTTATGAATGGGGAAATGTTTTATTGGCATACTCATTACTCAAGACTCATTGTACATACATGAATACTACATGCATCAGAGCACATATCTGTACTCTGTTAATATTTTTCTTGCTATCTGTAATAATTGTGTATGCCAGCATTTAACACTTTGCTTCAAGCTAAATAAATGACACAGACCCTAGTTGTGTTTATTGTTCCTTGTATACTTTGATACCTATCATTGATACAACGTTTCATATTTAAACGCATTTTGAGCAACAAATAAAAGTTTGATAAGTAGTTTCCATAGTTTTCTGATGAAATTTGTCGGTTGAAACCTGCTCATTATCCTATGGCATTGTTCAATCGGCTCGATTAATACACCTCTGTAACTGTTCAGATGTTGATAAAAAATGCTTTATATGTATTCAGAAGAAAACCATGCAAACGTCCACGTCAGTCAAACAGTCATCAGTGTGATCTGCCCTGAGAGGAATGTGGTGAGCTAACTTTCACAAGTCCAATGTCGACTAAGTTTCTTATTTTGAATAGCTTATGATTTACGCTTGAAATTACTGCAAAATATGTAAATCGCCCAGCGACGGGTTTATAGCCCAAAGTCTTCTAAGGTTGGATTACTTGGATAGTTGTCTGGAAGTGTATTGAATGTATGAACATTTTCTGCTTGTGAACTATGAGAAGTTAAGCGGGCCTGTAGAAAGAGTTGTACTGTATACATGGCACTATCGACAATGCAGTGTAACCAAAATGTCTGTGAACAGTGAAGTCTAAAACTCATATGAGTTTTGTGTAATATATATCTGGTGTACCAAAGAGTTTTACAGTTTCCCAGTGCAGCGGGGTTGTCTCCCTTCGTATACAGCTGCTGGAAGTACCATGTAGTGTCACATAGCTATTATTGATCAACGCCCCTTGTGTTTCAGCGAGAGAGGTATACCCATACGAAACTTGATATAAATGCTATAACAGGAAATATTTGCATGAATTTGAAAGGGTTGACATGTCAGTTACAAATTCAGAGCCCAGTTTCCACTACAACAACCACTGCTACCACCACCACACCACCAACACCCAACAAGAACTACTACTACTGCTACTGCTAGTACTACTACTACTACCACTACCACTACTACTACTACCACTACCACTACCACTACCACTACTACTACTACTACCACTACCACTACCACTACTACTACTACCACTACCACTACCACTACCACTACTACTACTACTACTACTACTACTACCACTACTACTACTACCACTACTACTACCACTACTACTACTACCACTACTACCACTACTTCTACTACTACTACTACCACTACCACTACTACTACTACCACTACTACCACTACTCTTACTACCACTACCACTACTACTACTACCACTACTACTACTACCACTACTACCACTACCACTACTACTACTACCACCACTACCACTACCACTACCACTACTACCACTACCACTACCACTGCCACTACTACTACTACTACTACTACTACCACTACCACTACCACTACTACTACTACTACCACTACCACTACTACTACTACTACTACTACTACCACTACCACTTCTACTACTACTACTACTACTACCACTGCCACTGCCACTGCCACTACCACTACTACTACTACTACTACTACTACTACTACTACTACTACTAAGCCCATGTCTTGTGAACCAAACTATTGCTGAAATATTGCCAAAAGCAGCATTAAACTGCATTAATGTCAATGTTCAGCTGTACTCTTCATAGTCACACATATTTTTATTTAACAAATCAAAAGCCATTTATTCATTATTCAATGTGGTTAACTTTGCTGTTGAAGTGTGATGTCATATTTACACCCTCATGCGATCATCTGTTGATACACCTGGTGATACTAATCACCACAGGAAATATCGCTTGTGTGAGATTAAACGATATCTCCTAGGATATATCGTTTTGACAGTAGATTTTGTACAATGCCCTGACAATGCTTTGACGTCGTGTACTTGATGACGTCACAATGCTATGACATCGCTGCACTGCAAGTCTAATGGCAGTACCATGTTCAGAGATGTACATTTTTCATTGAAAATTAGCGAAGAGTGATTTTGGATGATAAATAGAATCTCACCCTTGTGTCTTCTGATATCAAATATATCAACACTCGTTGATAAGAGTAAAAATATACTCGGCAAGCTGCGGATATTTGTAACTTTATCAACTCGTGTTGATATAATTGATATCAGAAGACACTTGGGTGAGATTCTCTATATATCACAGTTAAATAAAACCCCAACCATACTTTCACTACATGTATCACACATTATACATTGCTAAAACGAACATTGTTATTGTTTTTCATTATGAAAGAAAGAAAAATATATCAGCTTCATTATACAGATTATTGCAGAGATCCTATTGGTTTCAAATGAGGTGTAAATAATTAACTTCCTTGTTGAAAGGAAGCAAGCTTTACACCCCGACCTACACCGGCTGGCTTGGATACACGGACAATGTCCAGCCGTAGGTTGCAATTTATACATACAGGTTGATTCATCATTAGTGTCATAAGTGACTTGCTCAATGAATGCCAATCGTCAAGGACACTTCATGGTAAGTTAATGCCTTCAATGGTCTTTTCACTTCATGCTTCAAATGCAGCTCTCTTGATGGTACTGTGATTAGGTATAATGCGTTCTAAGGGCTTTTGGCATTAGGTTGAACACTTCCAGGAATGCCTGGAACACGTTTTATAAAGCGGCCAAAGCACAAAGACGAACGTACTTCAACATTCACATATG